ATTGCGTGACCCGAAGTGCGAGTGGAGTAGCTACCTGTCATCATCAGTGTCCTCGTCCATCGGCATCAGGGAGGCTCGTCACCGTGGTAAAGGTTTTGTTATCATCATCAGGGCTGTTCGACATCGTCATCAGGGTGCTGCTCTTCATCATCATCAAGGCGGTAACAGGACTCGCGTGCAGCTTGTTAGCAACATCTCGTCACAGGTATCAGAAACAAGGTACGTGACAGCACCGTCATGTTGGGGCTGTGGTATTTACCATCATCATTATTGCAACCGCTCGTTGGCATCGTCATCAGTGTTGCCCTCTTCAACGTTTTACTATTTTAGGGGCGCTGTTTCATCCCTATTATTATCATCACCAGTGCATCATCACAGGTGCACGTTATTAGCAATATCATCATCCTCATCATACAGCGCGCGCTGGAAAACTGCACGCAACAAGGAAAATAGCACGCGCGCGCTCGACGATTGCGCGCGATTGGGCGCGTTCACTGACCTGAAAATTGGACCACCGGTGGTCTATGTCGAGGAGCTGAGGTGGTCCAAATTTCAGATCAAATGGTCCAGTGGATCATGAGATATCGAAGATTCAGGGTGCGCCATGAAATTCGAGTATGTCGGCCGATGTGGATGACGGGGCAAGGCGATCGTCATCAACATAATGGATAATTAGTTCACATCCTTATCATCGTTACATCTCTAGGGATGTTTAGTGATTACTATAGTGATTTTCACCATCTGTAGTATCACGATCATCCGCTCTATTATCCTCATAGCTATCATCTGTTGTATCACGATCATCAAGACTATCATCCTGACAGCTACCATCTGTAGGCGATGTTGATCGCCACCACTATCTTTAGGCTACCGATTCACTCAAATAGTCATCTATAACATTTCGATCATCAATATTAATATCAATCTGAAAACCTTTTAGTCTTAGGGTGCCGTTTTCGGCTACCCAATTATCCAATAGTCATAAATATTTACATCCTGATTAGCTGTATCTTTATTACCTACACCTAGATTACCTATATCGTGATTATCTATATCCTGATTACCTACATCTCGATCACCTATTTCTTGATTGCTTACATCTTGATTACGACTATTTGTAGCAGAAATTTCAGACATAGCGTTTTCATGTTGGGATTGTTTTTCGTTTTTTTCATGAGTTTTTGCAGACGCTGTAGTGGGGATAGGACTTCGGAGGTTATGGCTGGAACTTTGGTAGGCAGGGGGGTTTTGAGACTCCAGGGTACAAATATACAGTAGTGACCCACAGCAGGTCTGAGATCCGCCTGACCCAAGTTAGGGGACAAGCCAGGGGAAGGACGGTAGGACTGTCAGCCTGGGCTCCGCCTGGCCTTGGGTAAGCTAGGGGAAGGAGAGATAGGGCTGGCCAGTTGTGGGTATAGACTACTAGTTAGCTGTCCCCGAAAAATTAACCTTGGGGTCTGTTATAGGGGAGCCTTATTCTTCAGGGGTGTTGCATGGTGGGAGGCAGTAGCCCTATTGGGAGTAGGGCAGATTGGGGATTGTTTGAGTCTGGGGCCGGGGTTGGAGAGTTGGTCGCCTTCAACCCCAGCGGGGGCAGATAGGGACAAGGGGTGGGCAAAGGCAGCCTCTAGGAGGGGATTGGTTGCCGTTGCGGAGGTGCTGGTGGGAGGGGAGGGGATCTGTTTTATGTTGGGGCCAAGGGATTTTCCTCGGTGGAGGCAGCATGAGACAAGGTATAGTGGGTAGGGATTGGTTTGAGTTGTGACCAATGGAAACGTATCCTTTTTACGGCGTCGTCAAAAAAGCTCTGATGACATTTTCTCAATTCCTTGATTGGACTCCAATTATCTTTTCTTTCTTTGAACTATGTGGTGGAGGAGGTCGGCTCGTCGAAGGGAGATGGAAAATTGAAGCCCATTCTTAACCATATGGGTTTTGGAGAGGTTGATTCTCTGGTGTTTCTTATCTTCCGAACTATGTGGTGGAGGAGGTCGGCTCGTCGGGAGATGAGGAAGAGCAGGGGGTTGCTAGGCATAGCAGGCAGGAAGCTAATTGTTCTCAGACTTGTTCAGAATTTGTTTCTGGACTGATTACTTTCTTCTCTCCTTTCGAACTACGTGGTGGAGGAGGTCGGCTCGTCGAAGGGAGATGGAAAGTTAAAGTCCTATTTCAAACCAAAAAACGTGGTTCTAATTAGATTTTTCTAGTAGTCCCTGGTTCTTTCTCATGCAAGTTCTGATGGAATTTTTCGAATGTATTCGTGATGGGACGCTGGGCCCGGTTCCCAGTTTTGTGCCAACCTGTGAGGAAGTGTTGTATCTATGGAATGCTGGACCCGGTTTCCAGCAGGTGCTGCTCCCCACCAATAGATGGAGCTTGTATTTAAAAAAAAAAAAAAAAAAAGCAATCCCACGAAACACACCCCCTCGTGACCCCACCAGACCCGAAACGTAGGTCATATACATTCAGCATTACCGAGCCTTTTTTTTTTTTTTTGTAAACTGGCCCTTTTGCCTCAAGTGAGGCAATTACCAACTCAAACTCGTTGTAGAGGTTTGCATGCAACAGGTAGTCTCTGCTAGTAGGTGTACGTGTTGGTGGTAGATTGACAGTCTAACCTGCACACTCGGTTATGGTCCGGTCACAGGAGACAGGCAGAGGGTGAAATCTGTGGAGGGAGTGTGACCTTGGCACAAGGGCTTCGCCCTTGGGACCGCGCCCCGCCAATAGGGGTCAAATTTTGTCGATCTCTTAATATATAGGATTTTGCTTTTTTAACCTGCACACTCGGTTATGGTTTCGTCATGGGAGACAGGCAGAGGGTGTAGATTGTGGAGGGAGCGTGAATCTGACACAAGGGTACATATTTGACCCCGCCCCCCGACATTAGGGGCTCTTAATTAGAACCGTGGATTGTAGTATAGATAGGTTTCCTCGCGATTAGTGTAGCTAAAGAGGGCTGCGTATTTGGTGAATCTCGTGATGCAATGTTGTTGTTGGTTCGAGGTCAAGACTATCTGGACTCATATGTATGATGTTGTTTGATTGTTGAAGTTCGCTGCTCATCTTCCTTGCAATTTTGTATCGGAGTTGTGGTACGATTGCGCTCATCTGGCGCTTGTCTTCAGAATCTGCCTTATGCGGTACATACATGCGGTCTGCTGGGCGAGTTTGGTCGTAAGTGGTGTGTAGTGAGGAGGGTGGAGACGAGTGTAAGGCGACCCAGGAGGTGAGGGGAAGGCTATGTGAGGTGAATGTGGTCTGGACAGTGTGATGAAAACTATCTAATGTGCGATTGATGTTGAGGTGGAACGGCGAGATAATGCTAGTTGTGCCGATGGAGTGGATGGTCATCGCAATCGCCATTTGGTCATCTGGTGAGATTATCTCTGTGGTTGGGGGCAGCTATATGAGGTACGTTGCTCTTAACCTTATCTTCCCTCTCCGAAACTTCTTACTGTGAGGTTGTGTGTTCCTTCTTGAGAGTCCTCTCATTGTGAGGTGCCGTGTGCGCTCAACCTTGAGAGTCGGCAATGTTCACGTGGAACATCTGGGTGGAGATGGGCGAAGCTTCCTGAAGGGCCCTGGACGAAGCACTGGGTCAAGATCACCATGCCAACCCACAGGGAATAGAGCACGCATGCCTAGCTGATTGTCCTTTGTTCGGCTTGCTGTGCTGTTAGATGGGTACCACTGGGCAGGCCAGCCCTACAGGAAAGACGAGTACCCGACGTCTATAAATAAACACGGGAAGGGGAACCATTGACTGTGATCGTCGTCCGGCTGCGACATAAAATAATTCTTGGAGTCACTTGGGAGCGGACGTTAGCGGGCGGACGTTAAATTGCCCCTGGATCAGTTAATGGTTGGAAGGCTCGCGGCACGCCGGGGATAAATATATGTGCAAGGCTGGCCGGCTCAGTGGATACTCGGGGCACAAGGGTGGGTCGGACACACACACCTTTAGACACGCTACGCTCTCCAGATCGCTAAGGGACGCTAACGCCAAGAGATACTCAGGGGAACTAAGGGAGGGGTTGATTCCTTGTGATAAGTTCGAGAAAATGCCATGTTGTCCTATCCTCACAACTGATTTTATTTTTATGATTTTGATTAGTTAGATGTATTGCCATTGACATCTGACAGACAACATTAGTTAGAACTGTTGATTGTTCCTGATGCCTCTGTTTGCGGACTAGTCATACTAAAAATAGTTTCAGTTGTAGGAATCTGAGTTACCTGTTGACCTCAAGTGATATTTGTTCCAAAATAGCCACCCATTAATTAGTTGGTCCATGCACTATGTTGCGGTAGGCATCTTGAATGATCTAGTGTAAACAGTGCATAGTGTTGTAGCCTATGAGCGACGAGGAGGACACAGGAGAGGACGACCGCAAGACCTTGCGATCAGCTAGAGGCCCGAGAGCTCACGTGTCCCTATGACCGGAGGGTGATAGGATTCTGTTCCTTCGACTTAGGGAGAGGCATCAGGAGCAGAGGAGGGCTAGAGCAGCAGAGGCCAACATAACTTTAATTACCGAGGCCGGTGCTACAGCCGTCATGGCCACTACAGCCATGATCACTTCTGCACAACAGACTTCCCAAGCCGGTAGTTCAGGTGCCGTCGGGTCAACGGTCGCGCAAACCGTGAGTCAGTCCACTGGCATTATGGCAAGCCAGGCCGCGGTGTTAACTCCAGAGGATGTCGCCATCCAGCAGGCAGCCCTGCAGGAGGCACGACTACAGCGGGGATTAGGAAAGATAAAAGTGGAAAAGGAAAAGATGATCAGAAGAAGAGCCAGGATGCAACGGAGAGGGGCAAATATAGAGGATTTAGAAACGATGGACCTGATTAATATGGATGATGATGTAAGGGTAGTTAGGAGGGCCCTGCTAGGCGTAATAGAGGTCCAGGAGCATCAAGCTACCATCCTTCAGGATATCCAACAGAGCCTAGCCGTTTTGGCAGGCCCTGCCAGGCCGTGCTCAGGCAGCGTTGTCACCAGTCGGCCCTGGTGCCTAGCCCGTGCCATATCCTCCATTTTTTGTCCCACCGGTGACAGGGGTATCCCCATTTGTAGCCCCGTCAACGGTTGCTATCGTTTCCCTGGGCATGCCGTTGTCAGGAGAGGTAACAACAGGGAGTAGTTTACAGGTTCCTGTACAGACAGTGTTTACTCCAAGTCCGTCGCAGGTTGCAGTCACCACGCAGCTTGCTGTCTCACAGTCTGTGCAGCCTCAGGGTACGCAGCCCCAACAGCTAGCACAACAACCTGTGTCACCGGGTCCACAACCCGGAGTGATGCAGGGACCGGGACAAACTCAGTGGGTTTCGAAGACGGCCATCGCCGCTCCCAAACCTTTTACAGGGGACAAGAGAGGCGAAGACCTCGACACATGGTTGAGGGCAGTGCCGGTCTACGTCAGGTGTAAACTCACCTTGCCGCACGAAGAGGTGTTTGTGGCTGCTTCCTACCTAGAGGGTAGTGCAACAAGATGGTTGAGTGACTTAATACAACTCCAGGGGTATGGTCATGACTTCCGCGCTTGGGCGGCCTCCCAGAAATTGGAGGACTTCCTGAAAATGGTGGAAGAGAGGTGGCATGATCCTCAGGAGGCCCAAGGGGCCACTGATGCGATCCTGACACTGCACACTCGGCAGTTTAAGTCAGTAAGGGAATCCACCGACGATGTTGAGCGTCTAATTTGTGTCCCAGGGGTGCGCTATGACCCCCAGGTCCTGCTGACTTCGTACTTGAGATGCTTTTCACAGCCTCTCAGGAACCAGTTGGCAAAAGAGGCCAATATCAACATGCACAACTTTCCTTCGTTTAGCAAGGTGGCCCTAGACCTTGAGGCAAAGATAGGGCATGAACAGACACCCACTACGGATGGGAGAAAAAAGACACTGCCTCCCAACTGGAAGGCGAAGGATCGTCTCATGTTTGTCGACAACGATGGTTCAACCATCGAGTTGGACGGCAACTTCCAGGAGGGAGTAGGTTTAGAGGCGGGCAACGTAGAAGCTTCAGAGGGTGGAGCAGTCGCTGCCGTTTTTCAAAAAGGTAAGGCGACCGGTAGACGCCGCGGAGGCTCCCAGTCTAGGAGTCAAGTTGACCCCAATGCTCCTCCATGGGAGAAAGCGGGTCTTACTGAGGATGTGTAGAGAGACCGTTACTCACGGCAGGCCTGTATTCGTTGTGGTCAATATGGCCACAACCAATTCAAGTGACGCAACAAGAAAGTGACAGAAAAGATCCCGCCTACGATGGGGCAAGTGCTGGGATCCTCTCATCCCGTTGGTAGCAATGTTGCTAGTACTTCTGGCAGTGCTCCGGGAAACACTTCGGGCCAGTAGGAATAGTAGCTGTTCCTGCTAGGGTCGAGGTGGTGGAGACACCCTCACCATCTCGAGAGATGGCCCAAGCTACTGACTCCAACATCGTCCCGCAAACACATTCAGACCCATCGAGCCTCTGTTCGATGAATGTGTTTGAGTCCTTAGAGGAGCTAGAGGTAGTGGTCTAAATCAGACCCGCTAGCTTCTTGGACGGCATTAGTCAAAGCCCCGAAGGGTGAGATGTTCGTCAGTGAGGTTGTCATTGGCGGCCATAAGGCTAAGGCCTATTATGATACTTGCTCGACTCAAAACTTTATTAGTCGCGCGTGCGTTGAGAGACTGCGCTTACAAGGGCGAGTGCAGCCCCTGAGTCGACTTGTGGAGTCGACATGTGCCAACAAACAGCGCATGGTAGTTAATGACTACCCCTGGATGTAGAGTGTTGTTTCCCGTACACGGGAGGGGACTTGAAACATCGTGTCTCGTTCCTAGTGAGCGATGAACTCCCCATGGACATGTTGTTAGGTATGTACTACCTCTCTGTGGCACAGCCCCAGTTTGACTGGGACCGAAAAGTGGTCAAACACACCTTGCCAAGTGGAGGGACCGCCAGATTGCACAAGTTCAAAGCTAGTAGTCTGATCGAGTCTCATGGATGCATGTGTGCGGCCACGTTCTATAACTATTATAAGCAAAATCATGAGGAGGGTATGTACTTAGTTTATGTCTCTGTTGCAGGCGAGCCGGTGAAAATGTCGCCGGAGATAGAGGGAGTAGTTGCCAAGTACCCTGATCTATTTGAAGAGCCAACCGGGGTTGTTGAGAGGGAGGTCGTCCACGCGATAGAAATTATCCCAGGGTCTAGGATCCCGAAGCGTAGGATCTATCGGATGTCTCCAGGCGAGCTTGATAAGCTTCACTGCCAACTGAAGGAACTCGTAGAGAAGGGTTGGATCCGGTCGAGTGTCTCTTCTTATGGATCTCCAGTTCTATTTGTACCTAAGAAGAAGGAGGGTACTCTTAGGATGTGCATTGACTATAAGGGCCTCAGTCCCATTACGGTAAAGAATAAAGAGCCCCTACCGCACATCGATGATCTGTTAGATAGAGTGCAAGGGTTTCGGTACTTCAGTAAGATAGATCTGAAGTCCGGGTACCATCAAATTGCAATCCGGCCCGAGGATCAACACAAAACCGCCTTTAAGACCAGGTACAGTCTATACGAGTTTGTGGTGATGCCTTTCAGCCTTTGCAATGCTCGTGACAACTTTCAACACGCTATGAATCGGATATACTATGACTACTTAGATAAGTTTGTCATCGTGTACCTCGATGACATACTTATTTTTAGTAAGACAGTCGAGGAGCACGTTGCTTTGGACAAAGTCCTCAGCCTCCTGCAACAACACAAGTTCAAGATCAACGGTGAGAAGTGTGAGTTTGGTCGTACCCGTGTCTTGTACTTGGGTCATGAGATCTTCGCGGAAGGGTTAAAGCCCAATGAAGCGAAGGTGGCCAACATTCGTGATTGGCCGCGTCCTCAGTCTGTGACTGAGATGAGATCGTTCTTAGGGATGACCGGCTACTATCGCAACTTCGTGGAGAACTATAGCATAGTGGCCGCATCTTTGACCGATCTGACCCGCCTTGACACCCCATGGGAGTGGATTGAGAGATGCGAGGCTGCTTTCAGGCATCTGAAGCATGCGTTGACGCATTACGGAGTATTGAAACTTCCTGATCCTGATAAGCCATTCATAGTGACTACGGATGCTAGCCAATATGGCATAGGCGCCGTACTTGCACAGCAGGCGCGGAAAAAGTTGAGGCCAGTAGAGTACATGTCCAAAAAGATGCCCTCTCAGAAGTTGGCAAAGTCCACCTATGAGAAGGAACTTTATGCGGTGTATAAGGCTCTGACCCATTGGAGACATTATCTCCTTGGGATGTTCTTTATCCTCAGGACTGATCATCAGACCCTAATGGATGAGAACTCAGCCGGTACTCTCTGACGCTCTCAAGAGTTGGATCGAAGTCATAGAGCAATATGACTTCGAGCCCCATTACATCAAGGGCGAGTACAACAAGGTTGCTGATGCCTTGTCGCGCAGACCTGACTTCTCAGGATTACTGATCACTGAGTTCGGGCTTGCGGACAATGTTACTCAATCCATGGTGGAAGCTTATCGCGAGGACCAGTTCATGTCTGAGATCATACGCAGACTCCAGGCGAAGGACAAGAAGACTTCTGCTGAGTTCGAGTTTGTCAATAGCTTGTTGTTTCTCGAGAAGGCAGGGAATAAACGTTTATGTGTCCCGAATAACGAGTGTTTGCGCAATTGATTTTTAGGAGAATATCATGATGTCACCAGACATTTTGGCTTTAACAAGACTGCAGCTAATCTGTTGCAGCGGATAAGTGGCCCACCATGATGAGAGACGCGAAGCTGTACGTGGAGACTTGTCAAGTTTGTCAAAGAGACAAGCCGCGTACTGAGGCTCCTATTGGGCTCTTGAAGCAACTTCCGATTCCGGAAAGGCCTGGTGAGAGTCTGTCCATGGACTTCATGGATACGCTGGTCACCAACAAGAGTGGAATGCGCTACGTCTATGTTATTGTGGATAGGTTTAGTAAGTTTGCTAGATTAGTTTCAATGCCTGAGACAGTGAAGACAGAGCATGTAATCAAGCTGTTCAAAGAGAACTGGGTTAGAGATTTTGGATTGCCAAAGTCTATAGTCAGTGACCGTGATGTGCGATTCACAAGTGAATTGTGGAAAGCCGCAGCTGCAGAACAGGGAACGCAGCTGCAGATGACATCAGGAAACCATCCCGAGGCAAATGGACAAGCAAAACAGTTGAACCGCGTTGTACAACACCTGCTGGGGCATTTTATTAAGCCAAATCAGGTAGACTGGGATGAGAAACTTGCCCTCTTTGTCAGCCTGTACAATAACGCAGTCCACAGCGCAACGGGCGTGAGCCCGAATAGTCTGCTATTAACTTTCAAGCCTAGACTGCCCTTGGACTTCCTACTACTTGACAACCAACCCTCTGTTGCACCAGGAACTTTAGAGTTTGCTTATCGATATGAGCAATTGATGCAGCAGGCGGTTGAGCATATGCACAAGGCACAGGCGGCGATGATAGAGTATGAAAACAAACACCGCCGCCCATCTACGCTCCAGGTAGGAGAGAGAGTCTGGGTCAAGTCCTCAGAACTGGGACAGGAGCGCGGGATCTCCCGCAAGCTCATACCAGAGTACTTTGGACCATGGGAAATTCTAGATGTTGTCGGGGATGAGCCAGATGGGCCTTCTTATGTTATTCGCATCCCTGGTCACTTACGCACCTACCCTGTTTTTCACGCTTCTAAGCTTGCACCGTTTAGAGAAATTGATCAATTCCCATCTCGTCGCTCAATGCTGCCCCCAACCATGGACGGAGAGGTGGACATTGATGATATTGTGGATCACAGAGAGCTGCCGGTATCAAGACCAGCATGCAGGGGACGTCCTCCAAAACCGAAGCTGAAGTACCGCGTTCGGTTCCGGCATCACACTGATCCGAAGGAGGACCGCTGGTTCACCAAGGAAGAGCTCATGCAGACCGCTCCTCAAGTTGTAACTCAATATGAGATCTCTGCAGAAGGGAAAGCGCCCTATGCTTCTCATAGGACTGTTGAAGCTAAGGAGGAGGGAATGCGAGGCCACAGCCTCTCAGAGCCTCATAAGGCCCCAATTTTGCAGCCCGTCGGCCGCCCTAAGTGAAGGCAGGCTCGACGAGGCCCTCAGGGCCTTTTTCTGGCCACCACGCAACTCAGGGAAATTCAGGCAGTTGCGCAGCGCCAGTTGGTTGAGTGAAACCAGGCCCTGGGCCGCCTGTGTCAATGTACGTGCAGCAGGCCCTGGGCTGGATACGGGTACCGGGCCAAACACAGGCCTAAAGCAGTTGGGCACATGCAACCACTTCAGGCCCAAGGCCTGCTTTCCTCGTGCTGGGCCTCAAGCTACCGGGGCCTACTGGAAGCTTCCTGGACTGGACGCAGGCAGGCCACTTCGATATAGGGAAGGGCCTGCCTCCTCATTCGGCATTCGGGTGCTGGCTGCATGCTGCGCAAGCGCTGCTGCTGCGCTATTTGCTGGCTGGCGCCTACGCTCTCACGGGCGAGCAGGGAAGGAGCACGCAGCCATAGCCGAGCTGCGCTGCTGTAAGCTGGGTGAAGCGCAGGGTGGTCCTTGGGTGCTAGTGGCATCTGTGAGTTGGGGAACGAGGTTGTGAGTGTAGTGCGAGACATACCTGGTGCTGGAAGTGTGCGACATTGGTCGCCATATGCTCGTACTTTGGGAATGCTGTTGATGTCATCTTTCGGCTTCATAGTATAGGCTAGATAGGATCTGCCACATGTAGTCTGTGCGCCGAGCGCCAGATAGGATATCAACATTAGTTCTTCGTTGATGATGATGATGGGACTATTTCACCATTGTCAATTATGAACTCTTTGTGTGCTCTTATTTGGTGAAACTCTTGATGCAATTCTGCTGATGGTTCGAGGTCACGACTATCTGGTCTCATATGTATGATGCTGTTTGATTGTTGAAGTTGGCTATTGCTCATCTTCCTTGCAGCTGAGTCTTCTTGTAAAAAAAAAAAAAAAAAAAAAAAAAAAGGGCAGGG